AAAAAAAAAAAAAAAAAATTTCTTTAAAAAAAAAACATATATTTAACTATACTACATGATTTTCATAAACATGTTTTCTGTTAGAGAGACCTTAACCTAAAAAAAGCCAACTATCATCTATTTGAAGAACTTAAATCCCTACCATCTTGTAGCACTAACCAATATGGTAGATACAAAATTCAGGAGGAAAAAAATGATACTTCTAGTAATAGTATTTCTCAAATTGTGCATAGACCACCCAGCAGCCTTTTAAAAAATGCAGTTTGGGCTGGACGTGGTGGCTCATATCTGTAATCCTAGCACTTTGGGAAGCCGAGGCAGGCAGATCACCTGAGGTCAGGAGTTCAAGACCAGACTGGTCAACATGTGAAATCCCATCTCTACTAAAATACAGAAATTAGCCGGACATGATGGCATGTGTCTGTAATCCCAGCTACTTGACAGGCTGAAACAGGAGAATCATTTGAATCCGGGAGATGGTGGTTGCAATGAGCTGAGATGGCGCCGTTGCACTACAGCCTGGGTGGCTGAGCAAGACTCCGTCTAAAAAAAAAAAAATGCAGTTTGTTGGACCCTAATCCAGACCAACACAATCAAAATCTCTAGACATAGTGCCTGAAAATTTTTATTTTTCATAAGCTCCCCCATAAGTCTTGTGCACACTAGAGTTTGAGTCCATTTCCTAATGGACATATCTTGAAAATCCAACATAACACAGTGATAGTTAACATCACTGCTGTGACAAGGTTTCTGCAAAATGACAAAGATTGCAGAGACACATATTACTTTAGAAAAACAGAAATATCACAAGGTTTTCTTTAACTGTAATCACCCATGATATCAGCATGAAAACTATCATTGCTTTAGCAAAACTTATGTGTATAAGTTTTATTCTGTGGGGAGGTTCCCTTACCTTCTGTTATCCTTCCAGTCTCCCACCTCAAGTTCCAAAGTGCCCTGGAAGTGACGAGTGTGCAAAACAGGCATGAGTCCACCAAGTGTATGGAGATGTCCACACAAATAAGCTATAGCCGAACTAACCAAAGAAAAAAAATGAAATAAATGAACAAAGATAATTTGTGAGGCCAAACTAATAAAAATGTCTTGCCAGAAAAGCAGAATAGGTACAGCAAAATTAAAAACTAAAAACAAATGAATTCTGATTTTGGATGCTTGTCTCACCTCATTATTGACCGGATTCCTGGTGATGGAGAAAGAATAGTGGATGTTGTAAAGTGTCCAAACCAAATTGTATGGTTGCTCTGACTACTTTCCTTGGCCAGTAATAAGAGCTCCTCCATCTGTTTCTGAAATGGGAGAAAAATGGAAGGATCTTAAATTAAGGCTCAGACTAAAATCTAATGTCAACAGATTAGGAAACTCCTCTGAAGATTTATAATAATAATTGTATGTTATCTAAGCCTTAAATCCTACTAGTTAATGACCATTATGGACCTCTGTGGATTTCAAACTGTTTCCATATACATTATAATTCATTTGATTCTAAAAATAACTCTGCAATAGGTATGGTAGATATTAACCTCTTTTAACAGATAAAGAAACTGAGAAATAAAGCAGTCATCACTAATATTTATAGCTTTGTATAACACATTACAATTAATAAAAAGGATACTGAAACTAAACTTCTAAAATAATAATATGGAAAGACTTCTACCTAAATGTTTATTGCACTTCTCATAATAGCCAAAAACTGGAAATCATCATCAAGTTGTAATACATCCACATGATGGACTACTACTCAGCAACAGAAAGGAAAGAACTGCTGATACACACAACCATATGGATGGATCTCAGAAACATTATACTGAGCTAAGGAAGCCACACCCAAGAGTACATACTGTATGATTTCATTTATGCAAAGTTTTGGAACAAACAAAATTAATCCATGCTGGTAGGTAACCAACCAGTTATTCCCTAGGAGGTGAAGATAACTGTACAAGGAAATTCTTTAGGATGATGGAAATGTTCTATGTCTTAATTGTGGTGACAGTTACGCCAGTATATACATTTGTCAAAACTCTCCAAACATTTAAAATGAGGATTTTTTGGTACGCAAATCATACCTCAAAAGTTGATTTCAAAAAATAACTGGTACATATGTAAGTATGCATTAATATTATCTGTAAAGTGCCTACAACAATAAATTTATGGGCTCTACCCTCAGGGTTTTAATTTGGTAAGTCCAGGGCAAGGCCAAGAGATCTGCATTTTGTAACACTCCTGTTGGTTTGCATGTACATGATCCTCAAATTCTACCTTAACACAATACTAAGGAATAGGATTTAATGTGAGTTAATCAACCCTGACTAAAGACACTTGATTGGTAGGAAACAAAACAGAACGTAACTAAATAAAATGCCTAAAGTAACACAGTGCGTTTGACAATATTCTGTTCACTTGATTTCACATTCTTTCAAACTCATTCATATAACTCTGAATCTCTTAGTTCTAATTTAGCAAATTCTGCTCTTTATTGTATTTATTTCTATACTGGTCTTATACTTCACCACTAGAATAAACACTCTAAGAGTCTAAGAATTGGCTTTATTACCTTTGTGTTCTTTCATATGAGTTCACATGTCTTACTTAGGGGGATAGGCTTATTAAATAATGAGTTGGCATTTATTGTACCAAGAAATAATAAGAGGTTCTCAAATGAGACTTTCCACACAGTTTAAATCCAGCAATCACCTAGCCTTGCCAAAATACTTGAAAATAAACTTACTGATTTCAATAGTTGTCCTTATTTTGTTAAAAAAAAAAAAAAAATAGAGACCAGCTGAGCACAGTGGCTCATGCCTGTAATCCCAGCACTTTGGGAGGCTGAGGCAGGTGGATCACTTGAGAACAGGAGTTTGAGACCACCCTGGTCAACATGTCAAAACTCTCTCTCTACTAAAAATACAAAAATTAGCTGGACATGGTGGCACATGCCTGCAATCTCTACTTGGGAGGCTGAGGCATGAGAATTGCTTGAGCCAGGAATGTGGAGGCTGCAGTGAGCCGAGATCATACCACTGCACTCTAGCCTGGGCGAGAGAGCAAAACTCCGTCACAAAAAAAAAAAAAAAAAAAAAAAAAAAAAAAAAAAAAAAAACAAAAAAAAAAAAAAAAAAAAAAAAAAAAAAAAAGACCATTAGTCAGAATTGGCACTTGTGGGAACTTAGGAATATACCACACAAAGCTATAGGTCCTGTACCCTGCAAAGTGCATCCTGCACCCGGTACCTATTTAATAAATGTTTACTCCATAAAGTGTGAGATATTTTGGGTCGAGAACAAGCATAGCAAAAATAGTGCTGAAACAGCCAGTAACTTCTAGCCATACCTGTAACCAAGTTAAATTTCTCTCCAAGCCTTCCTCGATAACAACTACTTTACCTATGATAACTTTAAGTGATCCACATATGTCCATGAAAAAATAAGTAAGCTACAAAGGGAAGTAAGATTTTTACTACACCTTATCTAAAATTCCAAAGAAATTATAGGGTCTCTTAGGCCCTGGATTTAAGGTGGCATCAACAGAGATGAATGAATAGTTGCCAAAGGGAGTACTGTGGACATAATGGAAAGAGCCATCTCTACGTACAGCAGAATATTTCCTAAAAAATAGAAGACAGGAGAGTGTTAGTGTAATTATAAAAAGACAGTGCTTTAAAATTCCTTCCCTAATTCCACACTAGATTTTACCATCCCTTGAAGAAGAGATTTGCTGATCTGACAGAGAAATATACTCAACTAGATCCACAATGGATAAACTAATTAAATTTCAAAGTTTTTCTCCCGTTGTCCCCAAAGACTCGTGCAAACTAATTCATCAATAACCAAACACAAGTTCACCAAGTAAAGCTCAGAAATAAGATGGCTCTTTTAGGCAGTCCACTAGATGTTCAAAAAGAAACAAATCAGAATCCAGTGGAACAGTATTTATCAATCATTTGCAGATTTAATGAGTGCCTACTAAGTACCTAGAAGAATTCTTGGTGTAGTGAGATATAAGCTATTTACTTCTTGAAACAGGACTACAGAGGTTTAATTCACAAGAAAGACTTGCAAAGAGGAAGTCTTCAAGCAAGGAGAAAAATATTGGTCTAGGTCTGAGTTGTTCAATCCTTTTTGGTTCCTAAAGATATACTGATAACATACACAGGGTCTACATCCACTAATGAAAGTTCACCACCTTACGTATCAACAGTGTTCAGGTGTCCATAAAACTGCAGAGTGAAGACCAGGAAGAAAGGATGGATAACACAGTACAGAGCAGGTACTCATTAAGTATGTGTTGAATAAATAAGAAGGAAAGCATAGATTTTATTGGGGGGGTATACCTATATTATTCAAATATCAAAATATTATAAGAAAAGTTGATATTATCTTTTATCTAAGTGTCTTACATGATTTTTACCTAACAGCATATATTTAAAAATACAAATAAACTCCTGAAACTTAATGGGCTAGTGGGCCACAACAGCCATCAAATATAATGTAACCCAAGTAAATACATTATATAGACATTACAGCTAATACTCAGAAATTAGTCAAACCCCATTTAAACAATGTCAACTAGTTCTATTGCTTATCTCCTTGGTATTTTTAAAATTTCTATCTTAGGGTTTTATTCTAAATTAAAATTTTTACGTATATTTTTTCTTGCTTATTTTATTTTCAGTTATTCCTCAGAATCTTATAATCTTACATATGTTGTTTCCTTTCTTGCATTTTTGATACATTAAAATGCAACGGTCCAAAAATAAATCCAACTATTTGAAAACACAGTTAAAATATATGACGCTAACCTAAGACGGGATTTTGGCATTCTATGGGGCTTTTATTTTTGAGACAGGGTCTGGCTCTGTCACCCAGGCTAGAGCGCAGTGGCAAGATCTCAGCTCGCTGCAAATTCAGCCTCCTGGGCTCAAGCGATCCACCCACCTCAGCCTCCTGCGTAGCTGGGATCAAAGTACATGCCACCATGCCCAGTTTATGTTTATATTTTTGTAGAGATGGGATTTCACCATGTTGCCCAGGCTGGTCTTGAACTCCTGGACTCAAGTGATGCACCTGCCTCAGCCTCCCAAAGTACTAGGATTACAGGCATGAACCACTGCTCCCAGGCTCTCTGGGGCATTTTTTTTTTTTTTTTAATATGGAATGCTTCACGAGTTTGCATTTCATCCTTGTGCAGGGGCCATGCTAATCTTCTCTGTTTCATTCCAATTTTAGTTTATGTGCTGCCGAAGCGAGCACTCTCTGGGGCATTTTTAAGATCAATATTTAATTTTTTTCTTCAGATTGATATTTCTGTAATATTTTTATTTTTATTAAAATGCCATTTATTAAATTCAGATAAAGTTTAGGTGGCTAAAAATAAAAATATAAAGGTAAGAAACTTTAAAGTGACTACAGTATTTACTTTACTTTCCCAATAACCACTCAGCCCCAAGTCCTGTTAATTATCTTTGAAAATGTCTCCTAACTTCCCACAGTCACCATCAAAAATACAAACAGTTAACAGGAAGTGAAAGATTCTCATCTCTGTTCTTTTCTTTTCTCACATTAACAAAAGAGAATAACCTCTTCTTCCAATTTATGGTGACTCTAATTATACAAACTGAGTTAACCAGTGCTTTTTGACGTATCATTCTCAAATTGATGTCACCATCTCCATATCCAAGAATCTAGTTGAGATGGGAATGTCTTTCCATATCATGACTGGACTATTGCAGGACCCTCCTATTTGGTTCACATAACTTCAATATCTCTTTTTTCCTTTTTACCTCATCTCTTTTTCTTTTTCATTGTGAGGTTGCCCTTTATAAAATATTATTTTGGCCGGGCACGGTGGTTCATGCCTGAAATCCCAGCACTTTGGGAGGCTGAGGTGGGTGGATCACGAGGTCAGGAGTTCAAGACCAGCCTGGCCAATATGGTGAAACCCCGTCTCTACTGAAAATACAAAAATTAGCTGGGTGTGGTGGTGAGCACCTGTAATCTCAGCTACTGGGGAGGCTGAGGCAGGAGAATTGCTTGAATGCAGGAGGCGAAGGTTGCAATGAGCCAAGATTATGCCCCTGCACTCCAGCCTGGGTGACAGAGCAAGACTCTGACTCAAAAAACAACAACAACAACAACAAAACCCCACTATTTTAATTATGTTACTTGCCTCCTTAAGAACTTATGCTGAATTATGAACCATTACCCATCACATCTCAACTTCTATGCTTATTACTTAAGGCCTCCATAAATTAGCCCTGAGCTACCTATCCAGTGTCACACTAGTCCTCGGTTTGAACGTTGATTCTGGTGATACCAGTTTCCTTACTGCCCCTGCAAAGTTCATTCTAGCATTTTTTTTTTTTTTTTTTTTTTTTTTGAGACAGAGTTTAGCTCTTGTTACCCAGGCTGGAGTGCAATGGCTCAATCTCGGCTCACCGCAACCTCTGCCTCCCGGGTTCAAGCAATTCTCCTGCCTCAGCCTCCGAAGTAGCTGGGACTGCAGGCATGCACCACCATGCCTGGCTAATTTTTTGTATTTAATAGAGACAGGGTTTCACCACGTTGGTCATGCTCGTCTCGAACTCCTGACCTCAGGTCACCCACCCACTTTGGCCTCCCAAAGTGCTGGGATTACAGGTGTGAGCCACCATGCCTGACCCATTCTAGCTTTTAAAACTCTGTTCATACCTATCCTTTTGCCTGAAATAACCACCTTGGTATGTCTTACTTCTTCAAATTCTACTCATCTTTTAAAATTGAACACATTTTATGCTTCTTTTATAAAGTCTTCTCTATGTCCACCCCATGCCGATCTCTGCCTTTTCTGATTTCTTGTAGTGATTATCATGTGTGCTAAATAATCTAGCATTTCATCAGTGATTCCTTCACATTCTTACCTAGTTGTTTCCTAAATAATTCTGATGTTCCTTAACTAGACTATCAGTTCCTTGAAGGCAAAAGCCACATTTTTAACATTAGCTGTTGTGTCTCTCACACTATCCAACTATGGATGAATTCTCAATAAATATTTGCTACATGATTGATTGACAATGCAGAACAAAGCTACTGAATACCCTGAAACTGAAAAAAAACTGAATTGCAGCCAAAAGAGGAATCTAAACATAATGAAACTAGAGAATTGGTTTCTAATTCAGAGATCCCCTGTCTTTTTCACATTCAATGAATAAAATTATTTTAATATTTGTATGGCACAAGGTGAAAAGATAAAGCAGTCAGGTGACTAACTGGGCTCTCCAGCCACCACAGAGGCCAGAAGAATCAGTATCTCAGGATTCTGAAAGCCCAGTGATCTCAGTATTGTGGTTGACAAACTCTGATATAAAAGACTTTTCCTATGTACCAATGGCTTAAAAAAAATTTTTTAAAGCCTGTGTGGAATATTAAAAGTACCACTGGTCAACACAAAGCATTAAACTGTATGCATACCTCAGAGATACTGTGGTTCCTGAGCATCACGCCATAATAAAGCAAATATTGCAAATAAGTGAGTCACACGAATTTTTTAGTTTCCCACTGCATATGAAAGCTATGTTCACAGCTGGATGCAGTGGCTCACGCCTGTAATCCCAGCACTTTTGGAGGCCGATGCAGGCGGATCACGTGAGGTCAGGAGTTTGAGACCAGCCTGGCCAACATGGCAAAACCCTGTCTCTACTAAAAATACAAAAGTTAGCCGGGCATGATGGCACATGCCTGTAGTTCCAGTTACTCAGGAGGCTGAGTCAGGAGACTCACTTGAACCAGGGAAGTGGAGGTTGCAGTGAGCTGAGATGGTGCCACTGCACTCCAGTCTGGGCAACAGAGCAAGATCCTGTCTCAAAAAACAAAAAAAAAGAAAGTTATGTTTACACTATACTATAGTCTATTAAGTGTGCAATTGCATCATGTCTGAAAAAACAATGCACATACCTTAATTTATAAATACTTCCACTGACTGGGCATGGTGGCTAACGCCTGTAATTCTAGCACTTTGGAAGGCCAAGGTGGGTGGATCACTTGAGCCAAGGAGTTCAAGACTAGCCTGCGCAACACATCGAAACCCTGTCTCTATAAAAAAAAAAACACAATAATTAGCTAGGCATTGTGGCTCATGCCTATGGTCCCAGCTACCCAGGAGGCTGAGGTGGGAGAATCACTTTGAGCCTGGGAGATGGAGACTGCAGTGAGCTGAGATTGTGCCATTGCACTCTAACCTAGGTGACAGAGTGAGACTCTGTCTCAAAAAAAAAAAAACTTCACTGCCAAAAATCATTTACTAATGATCATCTGAGCCTTCAGTAAGTCAAAATCTTTTTACTGATGGAGGGTCTTGTTTTGATGTTGGTGGCTGCTGACTGATCAGAGTGGTGGTTGGGGTGGCTGTGGCAATTTATTAAAATAAGAAAACAATGAAGTTTGCTACATCAATTGCCTTTTCCTTTCGCAAGATTTCTCTGTAGCATGCAACACTGCTTGACAGCATTTTACCCAAAGGATTCCAATCCTCTCCAACACTGCCATTGCTTCATCAACTAAGTTTAGGCATATTTCTAAATTCTTTGTTGTCATTTGAAAAATGTTCACACCATATTTACCAGGAGTAGTTTCCCTCTCAAGAAACCACTTTTTCTGCTCATCCATAAGAAGCAACTTGTCATCCGTTCAGGTTTTATCATAAGATTGCAGCAATTTAGTCACCTCTTCAGGCTCCACTTCTAATTCTAGTTCTTTTGCCATTTCCACATCTGCAGTTACTTCCGCCACTGAAGTCTTGAACTCCTCACAGTCATCCATGAGAGTTGGAATCAACTTCTTCCAAACTCCTGTTCATGTTGTTATTTTAACATCCTTTCATTAATTGCACCTGTTCTTAATGGCATCTAGGATGGTGAATCCTTTCCATAAATTTTTCAATTGACTGCCCACATCCACTAGAGGAATCACAATCTATGACAGCTACAGTCTTATAAAATGTGTTTCTTAAATAGTGAGAGTTGAAAGTTCAAATTACTCATTGATCCATGGGCTACAGAATGAATATTGTTTTAGCAGGCATGAAAATAATATTTATCTTCTTGTACATTGTACTCAGAGCTCTTGGGTGACCAGGTGCATTGTCAATAATGACCACTGATATGGAAAGGAATATTTTTTTCATTCAATAATGACCATTGACATTGAAAGGAATATTTTTTTCTGAGCATTAGTTCTCAACAGTGGACTTAAAATAACTCAGTAAACCATGCTGTAAACAGATGTGCTATTATTATCCAGGCTTTGTTGTTCCATATACAGAACACAGGCAGAGTAGATTTAGCATAACGCTTAAGCACCCAAGGATTTTCAGAATGGTAAATGGGCACTGGCTCCACTTGTAGTCAACAGCTGTGGAGCAGGAACCCACATCCAGCAACAGAGCCCTTTGCTCCTCCTTCAGAATGAATGGAGACCAGAAATCAGATATTTCTGCCCAAGAAAAGCAGGATTTCATTCTGCGCTTCTCCCAGATTGTTAGAGTACTGACTGAGGATGAGATAGGCCACCCAGAGACAAGAGATGTGATTGCCCAGCTCAAGGAGGTCCTGGAGTACAGTGTCATTGGAGGCAAGTATCACTGGGCTTTGATGGTGCTAGTTGTATTCTGGGAGCTGGTGGAGCCGAGGAAACAGGATGCCGATAGTCTCCAGTAGCCCTGACTGTGGCTGGTGTGTGGAACTGCTATAAGCTTTATTCCTGGTGGCAGATGACATCATAGATTCATCCCTCACCCACCAGGGACAGATCTGCTGGCATCAGAAGTTGGGCATGGGTTTGGATGCCATCAATGATGCGATGCTTCTGCAAGCATGTATTTACAACCTGCTGAAGCTTTATTGCCAGGAGCAACCCTATTACTTGACCCTGATCCAGCTCTCCCTGTAGCGTTCCTATCAGACTAAGATTGGCAGACCCTGGCCCTCATCATAGCCCCCCAGAGCAATGTAGATCTTGGCAGATTCACTGAAAAAAGGTACAAATCTGTGTCAAGTACAAGACAGCTTTCTACCTTCCTGTAGCTGCAGCTATGTACATGGCAGGCACTGATGGTGAGAGGGAGCACGCCAATTCCAAGAAGATTCTGCTGGAGATGGGAGAGTTCTTTCAGATTCAGGATGATTATCTTGGCCTCTTTGGGGACTTCAGCGTGACTGGAAAAGTTGGCACTGACATCCAGGACAACACATGCAGATGGCAGGTGGTTCAGTGTCTGCAACGGGCCACTCCCAGAACAGTACCAGATCCTGAAGGAAAATTACAGGCAGAAGGAGGCCAAGAAGGTGGCCTGAGTGAAGGCACTATATGAAGAGATGGATCTGCTGGCCATGTTCTTATAAGATGAGAAAGAGTTACAGTTACAGTCATATTATGGACCTCATTGAACAGTATGCAGCACCCTAACCCCAGACATCTTTCTGGGGCTGGCCTGCAAAATCTACAAGCAAAAAAAGTGACCTGGGGACTGCAAGGGCACAAAGAAGAGGCTCTCAATAAATAAATAATTGTGGAACCTTCTACAAAAAAAAAGTAATCAGCTGCATTGACCCCTAGCAATAGTCAGCCAGTCCTTTGAAGCCAGACATTGACTTCTCTCTAGCTATGAAAGTCCTAGATGGCATCTTCTTCCAAAAGAAGGCTGTTTCATTTACATAGAAAACCTGTTGTTTAGTGCAGCCACCTTCATCAATCATCTTTGCTAGATCTTTGGGATGGCTTGCTGCAGCTTCTCCATCAATCAGCACTTGCTGCTTCATACTGCACATTTATGTTATGGAGTCAGATTCTTTCCTTAAACCTCATGAAACAACCTCTGCCAGCCTTCAACTTTTCTTCTGCAGCTGCCTTACTTACCCCTCTCAGATTCCACAGAATTGAAGGGAGTTAGGACCTTGCTCTGGATTAGGCTTTGGCTTAAGTGAATATTGTAGGTGGTTTGATCATCCATCCAGAGCACTAAAACTTTCTCCACATCAACAGTAGGACTGTTTCACTTTCTAATAATTCATCTGTTCACTGGAGGAGCCCTTTTAATTTCCTTTAAGAACTTTTCCTTTGCATTCACAACTTGGCTCACTGCTCCAGCTCAAGAGGCCCAACTTTCAGGCTCTCTGAAAGCCTTTCAACAGCCCTCCTCACCAAGCGTCATCATTCTTACCTTTTGATTTAAAGTGAGAGATGTTAGACCCTTTCTTTCACTTGAACACTTAGAGGCTATTGTAGGGTTATTAATTGGCCTAATTTTAATATTGTTGTCTCTCAGGGAATAGGGAGGCCGGAGGAGAAGGAGAGAGATGGGAGAACAGCTGGTTGGTAGAGCACTCAGAACACATACAACATTTATTGATTAAGTTCCTGGTCTTATATGGGCAAGATTTATAGCACCCCAAAGCAATTACAATAGTAACATCAAAGGTCACTGATCGCAGATAACCATAACAGATATAATAACAATGAAAACATTTGAAGTATTATGAGAATTACCAAAATTAGATACAGAGACATGAAGTAAGCACATGCTGTTAGAAAAATGGCTCCCATAGACTTGCTCAAGGCAGGCTTGCCATAAACTTTCAATTTGTAAAAAACGAAACATCTGCAAAGTGCAATAAGGCGAAGCACAATAAAACGAGGTATGCCTGTGTATGAAACAGAAAGAATTAAAGGAAAGAAAGAAAAAGTCTAAACAAAAAGAATAGCATCTGTCGCAAAAAGAAAAAAAGGCTCATTTTCTAAATTGCCAGAGATTCTTTACAGAAAAATTTTATCTGTTAAAAAGTGTTTTCAGCTAGGCACAGTAGCACATGCCTGCCGCCCCAGCTACACAGGAGTCTGAGGCAGAAGAATCATTTGAGCTCAGGAGTTCAGGGCTAGCCTGGGCAAAATAGTGAGATCCTGCCTCTTAAAATTTGTTTTTAAAGTTTTCTCTCATTAATTGAATTGACCGCACCCTCCTTGTAACACTGACTTTACATAGTGGTCTGTCTTCTGTTTATTACAGTACCTGTAATAATTCTTGACGCTGTCCAGACTTGGAATATTGAATGCATCTAATTAAAAAAAAAAAAAGCAAACATTCATCCACGTTAAAAAAATGAATGCAAACATTTTCTTTAATGACTAAGGGAAAATGATAATTCTTTCTATAACAATTCCCCCACACACACACAACCCCAGGGTAGAGCCATTTTATTTATTATTCACCAAATAGTGGAAGGACTAGGAGACAGGCCCATCCTGGACAACCTCACATTATTGCCATGGGTTTCAGTTTGCTTCCCCAACCTGGAGGTCCTTAGCCTAGGAAAAGGGTAGACTCAGCCCCTGACACAGAACAGAGTCCAGGTGGCCCTGGCCCTACCACCAACTCATGAACTCTCACCATGGCCCATCTCTATAGTGCCACTGAGCCTCTCTTAGAGCCAGTATGGCTAGACTCTGAGTTGCTGGGTCCAATCCAAACAGGCTGGACTCTGAGTTCTAGACCCTAGGCTGGCTAAAACTCTAGAATCTTGATTCCAAGATGTGGGTGGGATGGACTTAGGTCCCAAGTTCCAGGCTAAGCCAGGGGCCTTCAGGGCTGCAACAGGTAGGTGCCTTCATGGCTAGGCTTCTTGGGCAGTGGTACCTTTTCAGGATTGGGGCCAGGGCTGGAGTTGGGACAAAATCTGTAGAGACAGTCAATGTCGGCAAAGCAAGAGTGGTAGGCTCGGCAGAGAATGACTCGGAGCAGAAGCAGCCAGCAAGCAAGCAGCATTGCAAATGATGGCAATGAGCACCCCCCTGGGAAAGGGCTGCCCCATGACAGGCAGCCCACCCTCAAACCAGCATAGAAAGTAGAGCAAGGCCTATGCCAAAGTGGAACTCTGGTATGACCAGCCTTCCATGGAGGCTGTCCTGTCTACACACTCAATGATTTCTGGGCAGTGGAGATATCCACTTGCCATCTTAAGCCTAAATACAGCCTGATGTACATCTGTGGAAGGGTTGGAACAGTGGGATGTTCAGTTTTGACTGAGGCTCCAGCAGGGACAACAGTCCCTCCCCAAGCTCTCTGCCTCTGCTGACACAGACTTACCTAGCCATGGTGTGACTGGGGCAGCCTCTGTCATCTTTCTATAACACTTTTTTGTTTCTTGAGACAGAGTCTCACTCTGTCACCAGGCTGGAGTGCAGTGGCACGATCTCGGCTCACTGCAACCTCCGCCTCCCGGGTCCAAGCAATTCTCCTGCCTCAGCCTCCTGAGTAGCTGGGACTATAGGTGTGTGCCACCATGCCTAGCTAATTTTTGTATTTTCAGCAGAGGTGGGGTTTCACCACACTGGCCAGGCTGGTCTCGAATTCCTGATCTCAAATGATCTGCCCAACTTGCTCTCCCAAAGTGCTGGGATTACAGCCGTGGCTGCCGTGCCTGGCCTCTATAACACTTTTATTGGTAGAATCCCTACCAATTAGATTGCTACTTTAAAATTTTGATAACTTAACAAAATTCACATTATCTAGAAACTTATTTAAGGCACCTAGTATACTAGAGAAAAACAGGTACTTTGAATTCTATACCATTCAGAATATCAATTTGAAATTATAAGATTAAACTGTAGTTGCTCTTGTTTTAATCCTGTGGTTCTAAAAGCCAGCAAGAAGTGGATTCATGCCTGATCTACTGATCAAATAAAGTAGACAAATGTAGTACTTATCTAATAAAAAAGTCAACCTTTATAAATCAAACAAATCTACTATCATCAGGACTCTTCTGGAGAAGAGTTCATTTCCTTACCAACACAACAATAATTTTAAAAAGGGAAAGGATTATCTATTTTCCTGTTCATGTCTGTGAAGATTTGTTTTCAATTTAAAATATTTAGGCTAGGTGCAGTGACTTACACCTGTAATCCCAGCACTTTGGGAGAACAAGGTGGGAGGATCACTTGAGGCCAAGAGTTCAAGATCAGCCTGAGCAACATAGCAAGACCCCAATTTCACAAAAAAACTTGAAAAATTAGCCAGGTACAGTGATGCACACTTGTAGTCCCAGCTACTTGGGGGGCTGAGGTGGAGGATCATTTAAGCTTTGGCCAAGGCTGCGGAGAGGTATGCTAACACCACTGCACTCCAGGCCAAATGATGGAGCAAGATCCTATCTTAAAAAAATAATAAGCCAGGCATGGTGGCTCACGCCTATAATCCCAGCACTTTAGGAGGCTGAGGCGGGCAGATAATTTGAGGTCAGGAGTTTGAGACCAGCCTGGCCAACATGGTGAAATCTTGTCTCTACTAAAAATACAAAAACAAAACAAAACACTAGCAGGGCATGGTGATGCATGCCTGTAATACCAGCTACACAGGCAGCTGAGGCAGGAAAATTGCTTGAACCCAGGAGACAGAGGTTGCAGTGAGCCAAGATCGCATTACTGCACTCCAGCCTGGGCGATAGAGACTCCATCTCACAAAATAATAATAAGAATAATAAATTTTAAAAAGAAAAAATAAAAATTTTTAAGATTTGCACACAGTAAAATTCATTCTTTGTGACTTACAGTTCTATGGATTTTGACAAATATATAGGGAACCTGAAGTCTACCACCACAATCAAAATACAGACTAATTCCATCACCACCAAAAACCCTTCATGATGCCTCTTTGCAGTCAGTATCTCTCCCAATCCCTATCCTCTGACAACTACAATCTATTCTCTATTGTTCTACCTTTTCCTGAATGTCATATAAATGAAACCATACAGTATGCAGACTGAGGGGGTTTGGCTTCTTTCACTTAATAAAATGTATATTTTTAAAAACATCTATCTGTATGAGTTTTGCTAAAACTCATGTTTCTTCCGTGTAAAGAAGAAATGACCAGGGGGTGGGAAGCAAGGGGAGGGATAGCATTAGGAGAAATACCTAATGTAGATGATTGGTTGATGTGTGCAAGAAACCACCATGACACATATATACCTATGTAACAAACCTGCACATTCTGCACATGTATCACAGAACTTAAAGTATAATAATACTTTTTTAAAAATAAGAAGCAACATATGTCACACAAAAAAAGGACCATACTAATTGTCATCTCAAAGGCTAACAATGGCATCTGACATTTTAAAACCACATTATATAGTTGTATTTCAGAGTTGTGACCTTTATTATATGCAAACCTATGTTACAATGTCCCGTTTTATAATTTTACAATCTAAACTGGAAAATCCAGGTTCCTGAAGGGGGAAAAAAATCTAGTCTTTATTATATCTGGCTCTTAACTCTTACCATGATTTCCTTTTATATCCAACCACTTGGTTTTTTCCATGACTCTTGTCTTCTTCAGAATACCCTGGTAGGTTTGCCATTCTACTTCATGCTGCCTGGATCCCAGTTGTTCCTTTGTTTTGGCATCTGTCAGGTCTCCTGTAGGTTTACACAAGAGCTGAATCACAATGCAAAATAAACTCCTGGGGGTTCAATTTTTTTAGATATGTACACCAAAGGAACAACAATACTTAAAGTACTCAACATGTATAAGCTAACTGCTCATGAGACCACTAATGTCCAAAGCAAGCTGTCTAAACTAACAAGATTTTCTCAGCAAGGGATTTGTTTCTTATAGGTTAGCGAATGCCTGTTTAACCTCCTGTGATATTAGAAATGGGTTGTCTAAAAAATCTTTTTTTTTTTTTTTTTTTAGGCTAGTCAAGTGAAGCAGTGGGAGTGGAGAAGGAACAAAGAAATCTGTAACTGGTTGTGATCAATTAGTTGTAAACACCACTGCATTCGGACCAGCGTCTAAAAAATCTTTAAAGAGAACAGTACAAGATGTATTAATAGAATATCATAAAATGAAAATGTTTTTTAAGAAATTCCAATACCCTTGGTGGGTTCCTAAAATCCATGGCAACCATATTTTCCAAACCACAAAATCAGAATATGAGATTTGACCAAGTATTATTTTTACAGCAAGAAGCAATGTGGCAGGTGCAACTGGACAACAAAATACCAAATATATAGGGAATTAAACGGAACACTTTTTAGGGGGGCTCATTCATTAAATGAGAACTGATACCCTTTCATGTCAGCAGAGATGCTTCAGTAAGGTGGATGGGTGATGAACCCCCCAGTAAGCAAGATAGTTGCTCCTTTAGCTTCTTTTCCCTACTACAGTTTGGGAGCAAATAAAGGGTTTGAAGAATCTTTCTAGAAAACTCAAGTCATAAAACTATCAAAGGATGAAGAAAAAGTGCCCTGAGTCACCAGAAGCCTCAAACAACTGAAAACATAAGATTAATAATATAAAGAAAATCGAAAAGTTAGCAAAAGAAGAAAACTTCTGATTCGTGGTTACAGGCTTTCCCCTAATTCTCACAACCAGAATTATAACAACAACAAACAGATACAAATATATCAGACAACAGACTGATACGAGAACCAGGAGCCTTGCTTCTACTGCTTTGACAAAACCTTGCTACGACAAATCATTGTGCCTAGATCTTGACTCATTCAGTTATCCATAGGCGAAGGGAATTATAATCTTCAACCTCTTCCACCTCACAGGGCTCATCTGAGGCTGTGGCTATAGTGCTCCCAACGTCCCCAAAGTGAAAAGCCACAGCCCTGGCTAGCATTCTACCACCCAGACCACAGAACACCACCACAGCACGGCAAGCCTCCCTACCTGTTGCTAGGACGAGAGCTGGTTGAATGATGTCAATAGTTTCAGAACAGAACTTCTCTAAGTCTACCGCTCTGCCTGGATCTCGAAACCTGCTCAGGTGAATGTCGGATATCTGCCGAAAACAGGTATTGAACAGAGAGATCTGAGTCAGCATGGGAGGAGCAGCCCAGCGGCTCTCTCAGGCAGAAGGAAAAGCCAAAGAGGCAGTGCATAACGAAACCCCAGGGAAGGACAGGGACAGCACTAGACAGAGCCTCGAGTTACAACCTGACTGAAGCCCCCAGCCTGCAGAGTGGGGCCCAACACCCGCCAGGGTCTCACGGCAAGTAGCCTGCTCTGCACCCGCCCCTCGCCCAGCTTCCAGCCGCGTCACCTGCAGGCCCCAGAAGATGTTGGTGTCTCCGGGACCTGGCGCCGGGTGCGGCCTTCTCGGGTGCGCGGGGCCGGGCAGCGGCGAGGGCTGACCCGCCAGGCCGTAATGCTCCAAAAGCATGGCCACTAGCGCAGCTGCCGCCAGCCCCACAACCACCCTGAGAGCCAGCACTGCAGCCATGCCGCCTGCCCGCCGGGGCGCGGCCCTTGCTGGTCCCCGGCGGGACCGCGCTGCGCTCCCGAGGGGAGCCTCTTTGCCTGCACTTCCGGACTGTCTTGTCGCCGGGCCAGAGCCGGATGCGGGGCCGGAGCCGGATGCGGGGCCGGAGCCGGATGCGGAGCCGGAGTCCGATACTGGGCCTAGCGTGCTGCGCCCGTCAGCCGCCTCCCGGCACCTGCCCCTCTCCGGCCTCGCAAGTGCCTGGGTTCGTTTTGCAGAGGTACTACGATCTTGTATCCGAGTCGCGGCACAAAAGTGCTACGATCAAAGAAAAGGGAACCGAAACTCTCGACACCAATGACGGTGGCCGAGTGGTGGCGGGGAAGGAGACCCGGACCGGTGGCCGGGAGGCGGGGGCTACAGTCCTGGCTCCGCCTTGGTCAGTCACTCCTGACCTCAGTGGGTCGATCTCCTTACCTGTAAAACGGAGTTAATACCTTCCGTGCGCACTTTGCAGTGTTGTTGTGAGTAGTATCAAAGTGAGAACGTATGAGGACACCTTTTAAATTTTCTCACAAATGTGTCAGGTGGCTTCCTCTGGCCCCTTCTGATTATTAAGGTGCCTCCATAGGTTTTCTTTTCCTCCCTTTCCCCTTTCCCCTCCCCTTCTCCTCTCCGCTCCCCTTCCCCTTTCCTTCACTTCGCAGACAGGGTCTCACCTAGTCCCTCAGGCAGGAATGGTGGCCTCGAGTAGCTGGGACTACAGGCGCGCACCACCAGCTAATTTTTAAAATATAGTTTTTGTAGAGACTGGGGGCTCACTGTGTTGCCCAGGCTGGCCTAGGAACTCCTGGGTTCAAGCGATCCTCCCGCCCCTGCCTCCCAAAGTGCTGGGACTACAGACCTGAGCCACCAAGTCCAGCCTCAGAGGTTTTCTATAGATGTAATTCCTATGTTTTGTGAAAGTTATTTTTCCCTTAACCTGATTTCACATGCACCTGTTTAAATAATATTGCAACACAGTGGTATACCATTCATTTAATAAATATTAAATACTTCCTATGGGCCAGGTCCAGGAGAATTTGATTTGGGCCCTACCTTAATTTCTCTAACTACTCCCTTATTGTTGAATTTTTTAAATTGTTTATGTTGCTGTTCTGAGCAAAATTTTTATGCAAATAGTGCTCTTTATAAAAACTCCCTTTGAGTTTTTTCCTTGGGATATGTTGTCAGCATTGGATTTATGCCAATTTCAATTAACTAAATACTTTTGAGTACCTTTGGAATTCAGTACATTGATCTCAGCAGAAAACATAAAGTAACATAAAGGTAAGTAGATAAAGAGCTATGGTTCATTATCTTATGAGCTTATGTAAGAGACATACATACATAAATAAGTTTAATATGAAGAATATGCTTGTTGCCACAAGAGATGTCCGGATATAAAAGGCAGGGGGAAGGTTAAAACTAGGAGAGAGCAGATCTTTGGAAAGAATCAAGAAAAGTTTAATTATGGAGGCTGTATATCAAAGATGGGTAGTATTTCTTGACTGGCAGAGATTGAGGTTGTAATGGGTAGAAGCACTTTCCACTAAGACCTAACAATATGAACCAAAGCATTAAGATGAGAAAATGCAGAGCATGTTGCAGGTACAGTGAGTGGTTCCGTTTGGCTAGGCTACGCCAAGAGGAATAATGGTAATTAGACCAGACCCTTGGCTTGAGGCACATTGCGGAAGTCCTCTATAAATTCCAAGAGTGAAGACAAAGGAGTTATGCTTTGGTAAGATGGATCTGACAACAGCATAGAGAACTGACTGTCCAGAGGATAGGTGTGAGAGAGAATCCTGTTGGAAGGAGATTGCAATAATCCAGGTAGTGGGGTAATTACAAAGATCTGAAGAAGAAAGATGGGAGAATATGACATTGAGGTTAGAAAGGAATGATCACATCTAAAAATAATTTTAAAAATAAAAACTATAGAATTTGACACCAGCCGGGCGCGGTGGCTCACGCCTGTAATCCCAGCACTTTGGGAGGCCGAGGCGGGTGGATCACGAGGTCAAGAGATCGAGACCATCCTGGTCAATATGGTGGAACCCCGTCTCTACTAAAAATACAAAAATTAGCTGGGCATGGTGGCGCATGCCTGT